AAAAAAAACGGCCCTTAAAATAAAAACACAGCGGGACCAGCAGATGGCGTAATGGTTATGTCACTGGACTCCCTTTAGCTGACCATAGCTGGAGCCCTGGACCTGGTGGCTTAAACTCACACCGGGCGTGTGTGCGTGCATGCCCAGGATCCTGGGAGGAGAATGGAGGAGAAAAGATTATGGTGTGGCCATCCCCCCTGCGGGAGTGATTTCTTAACTTCTGTCTCTCTGTCTGCCTGGCAAGTACACACACCCTATAGTAAAATCTCTCTTAAAAAAGAAAAAGAAAAAAACAGGCAGCCCTTAAAATGAAAATACAGCTTTTGAAAATGATCGAAAAGTCACTAAAAATGGACTGGTTGGCAAACAGGTATTTCACAGATGGCTTTTTATCACGGGATGGAGGCGGGGAGAGAAGGGGAAATAAACAAGTCAGACTCTCATTTTCATTCTCAAAGGCACGTGGAAAACATATTTTGGAGAACGTGCTTCAATCTGTACTATCTAGAAAAATCTCTATAGGTGGGGGTGGCAGGGGAACCTCCACAAAGAATGCAGGCCCGGAGCCAGCCAGTGGCATGGTGGGTAAGGCTGGGTCCCACATGGATGATGGCATAGTTCGAGCCCCGGACCCAGCGGCTGGAGAGGCAGGGTGGGCGTGTGTGCGTGCGTGCCCAAGATCCAGAGAGGGGAATGGAGGAGAAGGGATTGCGGCGTGGCCATCTTCCTGGGGGGTGATGTCTCACTTTCTTTCTCTATGTCTCTCTGGTGAACCTATGTGCCCTTTTGCTAATTAGAAATTAAAAGAGAGTGAGAGAGAGAGAGAGAGAGAGAAGGCCTGAAGAACCTTCCAAAGGAACTTACTGGAATCAGAGTATGGGCTGCCACTGTGCAAAGCCAAGCAGAGGGAAGACACGTGAACTTAGGGAAGGAGGAAAGGGAAGTTGCAAGCTTCTTCTCGCCTCCCTGCTCGGATGGGGCAAAGCTGGCAATGTTTTGAAAAAAAAAAAAGAAAGCCAAAAAAACACCTTCTTGCCATTTGACTCTCGTTTCCTTCAGCATTTTATTTATACACATGATGTTGTTCTTGAAAAACAGAGAGGTAACTCAAAGGGGTAAAAGAAAAAAAAAAAAACCCAGCTAGGAGGTGGGCATCGGAGCTCGGTAGGTAGCCGGACGGCTGTCACGGAATTCGGAGCTCACGGAGTGGCGGAAACCAAACAGCACCGGGTTGGAGATCGATTTTCCACAGTCCCGTCCAACTGTCCTGGCCCAGCGCCGCAAACAGGAAGTGGGGCTGGCTCTAAGCATCCCGACGGCACGTGTGCGAACCGCCTGATGATTTCAGGATGCGAGAACGAGGGGAGGGAGGATCCTTAGAAAGGGGTAAAGTGCGGGGGGGCTGCCAGGTGGCATGGTGGTTAAGGGCGCTGGACTCCCACATGGTCGACCATGATTCGAGTCCCGGAACTGGCAGCTGGCTTTTTTCACTCCCATCCCCTTCTTTGGTCAAATTAAAATAAATAAATAAATGGATAAAGTTAAATCAAATAATTCCCTTATTAAAAAAAAGAAATTTTGTGAATGACAGGTAAATGTGAAATTAAAAAGGAAAGAGGAAAATGCAATTTGGGGTTAGAATAGGTGGAAAGACAGGGAAGGGGGGGCCTTGAATGGTCTGGTTTGGGGCCTCTTAGAGGCCATGGTAAAGACACTTTAAGAGGGGAACAGGTTGGGGCCGGCAGGTGGCGTGGAGGTTAAGGGCATTGGATTCCCACATGGCCGACCATAGTTCGAGTCCCAGACCTGGTGGCTTGCTTTCTCGCGTTCCCTTTCTCTCTCTCTGGTCAAATCAAAAGATAACAATAACAAATGGAATTAAATAAATAATTCTTTTAAAAATTATTTTAAAAAGACGGGGACAGGGCCACCCCAGAGGAGGGCAGGGGCCCCTGTTCCTGCTGTCCCAGGCTGAGGCTCCCCTGTGACATCCATGTGGCCTCTGTGTGGCCAGTTCTTAAAACCAGGGTTGTCCTGCTCGTGCAGAGCAGCCGCTGGAGGCCGGCTTACTCCCTCAAGCTGACAACGGAGACAGAGGAGAGGGGTCCGAAGCCCTCTGCTTGGGGCCAGCCTCCTGCAGGCAGAGGGGCCATGGGCGACATCTGCGGGATGGCGAGGCAGACGCGATCCTTTGCGACTGCTGCCACCGTGTGGCAGAGCTTTTTGGGTTTCGGGAGCCCCTAGACCAGCCCCCGGGTGACGCGCGAATGCCAGAGAGAGCACTCGTTCCCCGGTGGCTGCCAGCCAAACCCAAACAGCGCCGCAGTGTTCCGATGAGGGAGGAGGGTTTATTCTCCGCGCGCGGGGAGAGCCCTCGGCACCGGCACCGCCCCCCCGCCAGTGTAAACAGATCCCCTCCGGCCGCAGGCTGGAACCGCTCCACCTGGCCGGGTCCCGCTCACACACTTCTTTGAAGACCTGAACAGACTCTCGAGTGTTTCCGAGAAGCCCTGAGCCGCGGTCACACGTGGCCACTGCTGCCCAACCACGGAGCTCGGCCCGAAGGCCCCCCGCTGGCGTGGGCTTGGAATCAACAAGCGCCGGCGCCCCGGGAAGCCGGAACCCCGGACACTCGGTTGAGTGGGGCTGCAGGGTGGGACCGGGGACGATGGCGCGCGGGGATTCCACAGGGGCATGATCAGGTTTTTACATCTTCTTGGGGGTCGCTCGGGCCAGCCTCAGGCCAGCGGCCGTGCCCCTGAAAGATGGGTCCAGTTGCTGGGCGTGAAACCCGCAGCCCTGTCCCCAGCATCTGGGCGTCGTGGGGCCCGGGAGCGCTGCATTCTGGCCGTGGTCACCTGTCTCCCCACGGGGCTGATGGCACCTGGGCAGGTGGGAATGAATGAAGTCGCAGAGTGAGTGCAGAGAGCAGGGCCCAGCGGCAGCAGGCCAGCATGGAGACAAGTGTCAGGGTGAGGGGAGGGGCCGGAGGCCGACATGGCGCACACCCGGGCCTCCGCCCCCACCCCCTCTTTCTCTTTAGGTTTTGCCATAGGGAGTGTGCCCTTGCTGGATAGACAGACAGTGAGAAGGAAAATGAGAAATCCCTCCACACACGCCACAGGCACATCGTAATCCCTTCTCTTCCATTCTCCTCCTGGGATCTTGGACCAGCATGCACACACCTGGTGTGGGTTTCAAGCTGCCAGGTCCGGGACTCAAACCGTGGATGACCACGTGGGAATCCAGCACCTTAACCACCACATCACCTGCTGCCTCTCACCCTTCATTCTTTCAAAGGAACCACCTCAACGTTAAAGGCAAAGGATGTGTGATCTAACCAGCTACAGTGGACCCGGTCCCACCCTGTGGAGTCGGGGTGCCCCATACGTGATCCTCCTGCCTCATTCTCCCAGCTGGGACCTCGGCAGTGCGTCATCACACCTGGCTCTTTTTTGGAGAGGTTTTTGCTATAGGGCGTGTGCACTCACTAGACAGATGGACAGAGAGACAGAAAGAGAGACATCGCCCCCCAGGGGATGGCCACGCCGCAATCCCTTCTCTTCCATTCTCCTCTCAGGATCTTGGGCACGCACACACACGTGCTCGGTGTGAGTTTTAAGCCACCGGGTCTGGAACTCGAACCACAGTCAACTATGTGGGAGTCCAGCGACGTAGCCATCATCACACCTCCTGGTCCCACACCTGGCTGTTTATAGACAGAGACTCGCTGTGTGGCCCAGGTCAGTCTCACACTTGCGAACCTCCTGCCTCAGTTTCCCCATGTCACTGGGGTACAGCTGCCGTGTGTGGCCTTTAGATTGGATCAAGAATTGAACCGGGGCCTTTGCGCGGTCCCCGCCTGTGGAACTTGGCATCTTAGCACACATGCCACCACGGCTGGGCACAGGTCACGCTTACCAACGTCTTAGCCGTTTCTACTGGAAGTCACCTCAGTAACAATGCACTTCTGTCATTTCTCCTTTTTTTGGAGAGGTTTTTGCTATAGGGCGCGTGCGCTCACCAGACAGAGAGAGACAGAGAGACAGAAAGCGAGAAATCACCCCCGGGGGGATGGCCACGCCGCAATCCCTTCTCCTCCATTCTCCTCTCGGGATCTTGGGTACGCACGCACAC